ATGGTGACTAAAGGGTGTTTTTTCATGTCCTCTATGCTCTAACTACGAAAATATTTGATTTACAAATAAGGAATCCTACTTCGCGAAATTTCATTTATCACGGTAGGGTCTAGAACCGATTAACCGCGATAAACAAGGGTTCACTGTATATGCTTGTTAGAGCGGAGGGGCAGTGAAAGAGAGGAAGCCCCTTGACAAGAGGATTGGCACAGTGGCCGCACTGATGGGCTCCAACGGAAAGACACTGGTGAGGACGGCGCAGGACCCGCAGGGGGTTGTTCTGTGGTGCAGGGTCGCTACGAGGCACCTAGCAACAACAGCAGCAGCAGCAGCGCTGAACAACAGTGGTCTCACTGAAGTGTCAAGTCCAGAAGGACAGGGGGTGGGGTTTTGTCTCTTGGCATCAGTGGTCTATCCCTGGTGTCCAGCACAGGGGCGGGCACTTAGTTCAAGAAATATTTTTGGACTCAATCAACTGAACAAATGTATTTCTCTGGCGGACAGTCTCCATAGCCTTCAAGGGCTTCTCAAAGGGAGGCTCAGGCCCCAAGTGCAAGCTCCTGACTGAGAGACCCTTCAGCTCTCCCGGTCTCCATGCAGGAACCTACTTTGCCAACTAAAGGGCACAGTTTGCTTCTCCAATGCAGCACACGTGCCCGCACTGTGTCCACCTGGTCCCATCCTGGGAGCCTACCATGCCACACAGGGGGCAGCTGGGTGCCAGAGCCCGGTTGGGGTGGGGGCGGGGCGGGGAGCTGTCCCCCATGAGATTCCCCAGAATCCGCCCGAGCCCCGTGCCTGTCTTGGAAAGGTCACTCGGCTGCGTGCCCAGGCCCACACAGCCGGTGCCATTTCTCCTCTGGCAGTTTTCAGGACAAATGTCACTCCTGTCAGTGTGGCTCAGCGCTTCTCTTCCCTGTTCCTTCTCACCCACTCACCACCCACCCATGGGAGTGTGGGGACACATGTGGGAGACCACCCCCCCCCCTCTGCACACACCCTCAGAGCTGGTGACAGGGATGGGAGGGGGGGAAGCGGGGGAGAAGCCACTGCTACCCCTGGTTGGGGCAGGAAGGGAGGGCAAGAAGGGGTGGCTGAAGCGGGGTAGGCTTGGCCAGGGGGAGAGTAAGGAGCATGGGGGTCGTGAAGGCAAGATGACACACCGCAGAAGCCACACCAGGTTCAAAGGTCTCCCAGACCCTCCCAAGACCCCCAGCCTCCGGGCTCTTCGGAACCTGACTTCTCTCCTTCCTCTCTGGGGGAGACTAACTGCCAGGCTCTTCTAAGCGATCAGCCCAGTTCCGTCCCTACTTGGTCTACAGGGGTCCCCTTGCAGTCTGCTGCTTCAGCCCCTTGCTCAAAACCTTTTGAAGTCCCATCACCATGTCATGGCCTCTCTCCCTGATTGACTGACTCCCTTTTGCATTTGCCACTGGGGGCGGGGGGCAGAGGGGAGCAGCCCCCAGTGTCCCCAAATGGCCCCTGCCGTCACCTCACCACTCAACTCAATTCAACACCTACCCCAAGTGGGAGAGTGGGAGAGTGTTACCCAGTGGAATCAGACAGATGCCATAGTTCTGATTAGCAGCTGTGCAGTCTTGGGTGAGCGGCTCCTGCTCTCTGAGCTTCCCCCGCATCTGTAACATGAGCTCATTTGATCCCTGGAGCTACCCTGTGGGCAAGGTGCCCAGGGCACACACACGGGAAACAGGCACAGAGAGGGTGTAGCCTCCCTGTCCAAAATGGTAGCCCCCAGCCACCAGTTGCTATGTCCAATTTAAGTGAATCAAAATGAAATCAAAGTTCAAGGTCAGCTTTGTGGTGGCACTAGGCCCATCTCAAGGACTCACCAGCCACATGTGGGCAGCAGATGCCGTACTAGACTGTGCCATCTTTCCAGAAAGTGCTGGTGGGTCAAAGGCTGGTCTAAAGCTTATGTGTGACGGGGAGTGGATTATGCCCCACAGGGACCCCATGTGGCAGAATGGAACTGCCCCATCGGGTTTTCTAGGCTGTATTCTTTACTGGAGCAGACGGCAAAACGGCCAGGTTTGGCTCCAACAGACCGCTGGATGGGTTTGAACTGCCAACCTTCCGGTTAGCAGCTGAACCTTCTGTTAGTCTGGTTACCCCTGGCCTCCAGCATCACTTTCTAATTCCAAGTCAAGGTATTAGATGAAAGGGGATGAGGTAGGAGCAGCTCTGTGCTTGGCCAATATGACATTTCATTCTGGGGCGGGAGGTTGCCCCAAACCTTCCACTCTCCTCTCCTCAAACCCAGTGACCACTCTGCTTCCACCAGGTCAGTCTCCAGCCTGCCCCCGCCCCTCGTTTGACTGGACAGTGCCCTCCTCTTGGCTGACCCCCAGTGGTCTTCTCCACCTGCCTTGGTTATCCCCCTTGGAAAGGCCCAGCCCACGGCTTCAAATGAAACTCACCCCACCCAAATCAAGTCCCATCCTCTACTCTCCCAGTGAGACGAGCTCTTCCGCTGTGTTTAACATTTCCAACCCTGCTGTGTAGTGGTTACGTGTTGGGTGGCTAAGTGAAAGGACAGCAGTTCCAGGCCACCTTGCTGCTCCACGGGAGAAGACGAGACTTTCTGCCCCAGTGAACAGTTCCGGTCTGAGCAACCCCTGGAGGTAGTTCTACCCTGTCCTACTGGTCACTGTGAATTCCCATCAAATCAATGGCAGCAAGGGAGGGGGTGAAGCTCGCCAGGCTGGGCTCCCACCCGGTGGGGGCTCACAGCCCACCCTCCAAGTCCCACCTGGTGAGGTCTCACTCCATCCTTTTGCCCCCTGCACTTCTATATCACGTCTCCTCCGGGCACTGGCAGCACCTCCCACCTGCTCACCCAGTCAGTCAGTCACGAGTCTCTCCCTCTTCCCCGCCCTCTCCCCACCCATCCCACACAGTGCTGCCGAGAACTGCTGGAATAATCCCTCTCCCCAAATCCCTGTTCCCTCCTCCAGGCCAGCCGGGTGTGAGCTGGCTGGCACTCCAACTCTCTCTCTGCCTCCTGGGAGGAGTGTGGACAGTTCCTTGAGCACCCCAAACTGGCCTGGGGCCTCTTCTTCACCTCCCCTCCCCACCCAAGTCAAGTTAAAAACAGCCAGAATTATTTAAAGAAAACCTGCCGGGAGTCCTCCGCAGAGACAAAGAATCCTTTTGTTATGCAAACGAATCTACCTAATTTCCCTGTTTTATAAGTTCAAGTTTAAAAAAAAAAAATCAGTCTTCCTTTGAAGCTTGGCTCCCCTGCTCCCCAACACCTGCACTTACACCCAGAATTTCAGACTCCCTGGCGGTGCCCTCTGCCCCTGCTCAGGATGCTGTCCCTGTGCACACAGCCAGTCCCCAGCCTTCTGGGCCTACCCGTTCCCGCCTCCTCCTCCTCATGGACTCATTTTCTTCCTCTCTTGCAAAACCCGCTTCCAAGTTCCACTCTGGGGCAGTATTCTGTTCCTCTAATTAACCTCCTTCCCCCCATCGCTTCCTCCTTCCCCTGCAGCGGCCCAGCACCGTGGGCCAGGCCTCCCAGAACTGCGGTGGAGGCCGGCCAATCCACAGGACTTCACCTTAGGGAAGGAAAAAACAGGCCCAGAGCAGGAAGCTTTGCTTGCCCGGGTCACACCACAGCAGCAGGTGGGTGATAGGATAGGTCCCCTGACCCTCAACCCAGAGCCTGGCCTGCTGTGCACAGACAAGGCTGACCTACATTTGCCTCGGGGTTGGTGTGCTGTGGGGTGTGTGTGCTCACCGCCTTGTGGGTGGTTTCCAGATGAGGGGGAGGGGAGAAATAGAATCTGCAAAGGCATTCTGGATGAGAACGGTGGCAGGGCTGGGCAGGGGCAGGGGCAGGGGCAGGGGCAGGGCAGGCTCGCTGTGCTGGGGGTCTGGCCAGAGCATTTAGAGGAGATGAAGCTGGGGGATGGGGGCTGATGCCTGTGGAAGCTAGAGGGGTCTGAGGATGGAGGCTTGGACCCCTCATTCTCAGCCCTAGCCTTGGGTTTGAGTACTCTCCTCTCTTCTCCCTACTACTCAGACCCTCCTGGGCATCAGAATGGCATCCCTGACCACCCACCCACCCCGCCATCGGTGCACCCATCATGTGGCTTGGACACCCCCCAGAGCCCCTGTCTTTTCCAGAGGAAGAGCACCAGTGGTGCCCCCTGCCCCATCACCGCACCCTGTTCCCCTCTGACCCCAGAAATAGGCAAGAAGGCTGTCGGGGCAAAGTGGTGCCGGGAGACTCACGTTCCATCCTCGTTGCTCCTGTAAAACACCAAGAAAGGGTCGGATTTCCCGAAGAAATCTTTCTTGTCCAGCTTGTTGGCACAGAATTGCATCGTCGCGACGTCCTAGAGGAAGGGGGGGCAGGGGGGACAGGGGTGTGAGGCAGGGGGAGGGGCCCACGTGAGGGGTCCAGACACCAACCCTCTTTAGGGGGGCAGCCCCGCACCCTCGCCCAGCACCAACCATATGCTAGCTTTCACGCCGAAGCCCCAATGCCCCCAATCCATCCTTGGACGCCCCTACCCAGTAGGGCACGCAGGGTAGCCAGTGTGCAAGTGGTGGGTTTCCCGAAAACGCCGCGGGTTTGACTCCTGGGTCTACCACTTTCGGGTTGCATGACCTTGAGCGAGGTAGGTCCTGTCTGGGAGCCTCCGTCTCCCTTTCTGCAACCTGAGGCGGGTCCTCGTAGGGGACTGTGAGAAGTAACCCAGACCAAGTGCGCCCCATGGGCAGCAGAGTGCCGGCCGGGGGGTGGCAGCCGCTCGGGCAGTGCCCACATATGGTATATCATCCCTGGTTTACTCCGTGCCTCCGCGGAGTGACTACGGCCACCACAAGCTTGGGTCTGCCAGCCCTGGGTCTGTGCCCACCACCTCACTCCAAGAGACGTGACGTGGCTCCCAGAAAACCTTCAGGCTTAAGCACTGCCTTCCTACCCAAGAGAGACCCACAAGCCTCAAAGGCAGACAGGACGTGACCCCTTTCACAGCTGAGAAGACTGAGGCTCAAGAGTGCACTGAGGGACTGCCAAGTTCACCAAGCAGACGTGACGCCTGGGCTCTCTGACTCTTCAGACCTGTTGGCAGTCCCCTGCCCCGGCTGACCCAACAGGCGGCCCAAGAGTTTGAGGAAGGTCCGCAGGCCGAAGTGAGGGTGACCAGGTCCCGCTCCTCCCCAGACGCCCTCCCCCATCCAGCTCACTGGGCACAGGCACCCCCACGTGCCCCTCTCTTCAATCCCCAGGCTCTGCGTGATGTTAGGGATGACCTAAGTGCGGCGGATGTCATCCAGGCTGGCCGGTGCGTCTGTTATGTGAATCAGATCGCATCCGAGTCGGGTGGGTGCTGAATCGAATCACTTCTAAGTCATGAAAAGAGCAGATGAGACGCACAGACACCCACATGGGGACAGACGCCTTGGGAGGGAGGGTGGGTCTCCAGGAATTCAGTGATGCTACAGAGGACAGTGACCAGATCCAGCAGAGACCCAGGCTTGAAACTGCGCCAAAGTACATTTCTGTTCTTTACAGCTGCCCATTGGGGGTCTTTTCTTCCAGCAGTCCCAGGGCACGAAGACCCTGACAACTGAGTGCCCAAGCCCAGAGCTCCCTCCCACCGCCCCGCCCTGGAGGGCCTGCGTCTGCCAGTCAGGAAGTCACCCGCTCTGAGACTCCCTCCCACAAACCCCTCACTCTCAGTCCGAGGCAGAGGGCGGGGTGTTATCTGTCACAAAGCTGCAGGGCACAGTCAAGAGGTTCTGCCTGACCCTTGGACTGGGTGGGGGTGAGGATGGTGAAGCAGTTAGGGGCAGTCTAGTCAGTAAAGCCTGGCCACCTGCTTCCACCCCAGGCCTCGCGAGCTCTCGTGTCACGCACCCTCTCCCTGCCACAGCGCTCCTCATCGGTAAAACGGGGGATGGCTAGTGCCTACCTTTGAGGCCTGTTGCAACGATAAAGCTGCCTCACTCACCCACTCTCTGCCAAGGAGTCGATGCCCACTCACAGCAACCCTCTAGGACGGGGTAGAACTGCCCCTGTGCGTCTCTGAGACTGTCACCGAGAGCCCCGTCTCTCTCCCATGGTTTTGAACTACTGACCTTTTGGATCACAGCCCAAGGTGTAACCACTATGCCACCAGGGCTCCTCGAAAATAGTGCTGGGCACACAGTGGGTGTGGGCTTGTCGCTGCCAGTATGATTCAGACACTGCCCCTTTCCCCCACCGCCCACCTCACAGGCCTTCCCTCTGGGTGTCTGACAGCAGCAAAGAGCCAGCCTCCCTTCACTCATTCATTCATTCATCCACTCATTCATTCATTCATCCACTCATTCATTCCGCAGCACACTTATTAGGTGCCGTATGGGGGAGTCACCAAGCTCTACGTGCCTGACTGTGGGCGGCCCTCAAAACAATCCCTTGAGGCTCTTCACACAGGAGGAAGCTAGGGGTCAGAGAAGTTAGGGCCCTGCCCTCGGTCGCCCTCTGCTAACCGGTAGAACAGAAAACTCTTGATTTCCAAGTTAGGGCTCCCTGAGAGGGCATAGAACCCTTTCGGGGGACTGTCCCCTGGTTTCTTTAGGACATGCTGGTATCTGTGGGCTCCGCGTCTGCATGGGCAGGGAGGGCCGGGCTCTGTTTAACTGAGAAACCCTGCTAGCAGGTGGTGCTGAGGAGAGGCGTGCTGGGGAAAGAGAAGCCGGGGGAAGAGAGGCCTGCACGTTCTCTTCTTGGGTGACGATTGCTTCACCACATTTCTCACCCACCTGTGGGGGAGAAGGAGGCTGGACTTGGGGTTCTCAAGGCCCTAGAAGCACCAATAAATCAAAGGGGTGGTGGGCTTACTGAGCACAGACCCAAAGCCAAGCACCGTGTTAACCCTTTGCTGTACCTACAGGATTTTCTTGATCCCCCCTGGTCTCCCCTTTTGACAGACAGGAAAGCAAGACTTTGAGAGATTAAGTCATTGCCCAAGGCCACACAGGGAGTAACCCAGACAGGCTGACTTCAGAGCTTGGGCTCTTTCACCCTCTCCAAAAGATCTCTTAACTTCTAGAAAGTCTAGTCCAGGCACTGGGATGGGCAGGCATAGTCTCCTTCCCTGGAGAGAGTCCCAATCCCACCCCAGGCTGGATGGAGACACTCTTTCCCTGGGGAGCCCATCCTTGGACCTTAGGAAGGGAGAAGCCCTGGGAGAGGGTGGGTTCTCCCTAGGACTGGCAACATCATTTGTGGAGGCCCAGTGCCAAGTGAGATTGTGGGGGACCGTCCAAGGTGGGGACAGAGCACTAAGCCAAGAGCAGGGCACCCCGCGTACCTGCAGAGGCCACAAGCCCGGATGCTGGCCCTGGATCCTCCCTCTGGGGGCAATGTGCAGTGAACCAGAAACCCACTGAGAGGACCCAGTCTGCTCAGTGGGAGCCCTGGGGACCATCACAGCAAGTAGCCCAGAGTCTGAGTTCTAGTCCCAGGTCCAGCTCTGTGTGACCTTGAACAAGGGATGCAAGCTCTCGGAGCCTCCGTTTCCTCGTCTGTAAAGTGACGGGCTAGGTGGGGTGGCCACCAAAGACCTTTTAAGCTGGGTGTCAGCAGGCTTTGGTATGATGCCACATGGGGCATCGTGGTGACGGCTGGGCAGTGCTACAAGAGTCTTCTTAAGAGAGGGCTGGCACTCAAGGGGGAGTCTGGGAATCCAGGGTCCCTCCAGCCTCCTCAGGACAAGGCTTGGCTGCTCCCACCGTGATGCCTCACTGACCTGTAGGCACCTGTGAGACACAGCCGCCCATCATGTGCTCTGCCTGCACTGCTTGACAATCAAGCACAGGCCCTCCCTCATATTTGAAACAACCTAGACAGGGCCCCCCCGCCACCCCACAATCTAGAGCCTCCCAGGACAAACCCCCTGAAGGCCCTGCGAGAAAGGGGAGTCAGAATATTCCAAAAAAGAAACGCAAGTACTTTTAAAGAACAGAACTCCTGGGTCCATTCAGGGCATCGCCGGGTGACTGGTCCTGGCTCAACCCCTGGCAGGTAGCAGGGCAAACTGCAGAAGGAAGCCGAGGGTTGCCTGGCTAGAACCCCGCCTCTGCCGCCTCTCAGCTGAGCAGCCAGGGGCAAGTGGCTTAGCCGTGCCGAGTCTCAGAGTTGTCCATAAACAGGCTAACTGGGCTGCCTTGGGACCACCAATGGTCGCGTGCTGGACTACCAAAGGCTGCCGGTCGGAGTCCACCCACAGGCACCACAGAAGATAGGCCTGGCAACCTGCTCTGGAAAAACCGGTCACTGAATGGTATGGAGCACCACACTGTTCGAAAACCACAGGGCTTCGCCATGGCTTCTGGTTTGGGTTCTATATAAAGTACCAGGCCACGGGGCCTAGCAGGCCCGGGGCGGCATTGCAGCAGCAGCGAGCACTTGCAAAACGCAAGCCATCGCTGGCTTGAACCCCGTGGCACTGCCAATCTTCAACTGTTTTGTAACCAGCAACCACAGTCCATGGCTGTTCTACCTCGGACACGCTAAGAAATGTGTTCACACCTGTGCGTCCATCGAACCTTCTCAGCTGCCCTATGAGCCAGGTGGTCTTGTTAGGGCTCCTATTTTACAGACAAGGGAACTGACAGGCCCAGAGGTTCACACCAACACCTACAGCCACACAGCCGAGGAGGAGGAGGAGGAGGAGGAGGAGGAGGAGGAGACCAAGCCGGCATGAGTACGAGGCTGTCTGGCTCTAAAGATGGAAGAACTGAGACTTCCAACGGCGGTCCTCAAATCATTGCAGCGGAAGTTTAATGATGTTCGGTAACCTTGGTTTGAGAAGTCAGAGAAGCGTGAATTCATTTGAGTAAGATCTCTGTGCAAACCAGTTAAAATTAAAAACAAACAAAAAAAGAAAGAATGAAAGACGAGACACAGCCCTGAAAGTCAGCTAACTGGAAAGATCTGAGGTGTGAGCCACCTTAGACCGGGATGGCTGGTGGCAGATGAACGAGGTGCTGGCGGGTGGGGGTGGGGCGGTTCATTCAGCCGCTGGGCCTGCTCTCCCCTCCCTCACACAGTCTAGATCCGGGAACTCTGGCCCAAAGCCCTTGAGTTTCATCCGCATTGTTGCTCCTTCACAGACTCTGCAGGGAATAAGAGGTTTCTGGGCTGTCATAAGACAAGCTTCCTCCTTAATGGGCGTACGCCCTACAGGGAATCCCTGGAGGCAAGGAGGAAGGAGTAATTGTCTGGGGAAGGGTGGCGCTTTTGAAGGTGGCTCTGATCCTGTCAACAGTCCTAGGAAAGAGGGTCCCGCGGTCCCCAGCCCCTGCTCTGAGCTGCGAGTTAGTGAATGAATCAAGCCCTTGG